CGCCGCCTCTCTCCTCCCCCGCCTGTCCTTGTCCCCTCCTCTCTCGGTCCGAGCCCCACGACCCTGCTCTGTGCGCGCGCAGGTGCTGGGAGCCGTAGACACAAGGACGAGCCCGGCTAGGCTCTGGCCCTCTGGTTTCCCCGCGGAGGTGGGGAGAGAAGGAAGCATATGGAGGAGAGCTCGGGCTCGGGGAAAGATGTTCCAGACGCACAGGCCGGTGCAGTGAACGCGCGGAGCGCGGGAAGGCTGAAAGCATTGCCAGGGAGAAACTAGGGGTGCCAGGCAAGACCTGTCACAGCTTCAGATTAGGCGAGTCGCTTTCTGCGACCGTGTGCATCTGTGATTATTATACACTATGTGATCCTGAGAGAAGTGAGGGTCTGACGCACAGACTGTTACCCATATTCATCCTTCTTCGTTGGTCCAGCAGAGGAGCAGATAAAGGACCCTGAAGGCATGGCAAGGTAATCCTTGCTGCGGAGAAGGGCAGGGACTTTAGAGTCCCAGATATGTCATCCTTGCCGCCAGAGGCCGCACATCTAGTGTCTCTGTTTGGGCCCCACTAGCCTCTGCACAAAGAAGGCCCCTCCCCTGGCAGTGCGACCCCACCTCCCCTTCCCTACAGTGTCGGAAGGGCAACGCTTAGACTGGATTTCAGACTGGATTTCAGCCACCTGCCGGTGAGCCTGGTCCAGCAGCACAACCTTCTTCAGAGAGTGAGACTCTTGGGCACTCATTGTAAACTAGGCCCGCTGAGGGTGCCAAGGCCCAGTGTTAAATTGGCCCTCTCTCTTCAGAAGAGAGAGAGAGAGAGAGAGAGAGAGAGAGAGAGAGAGAGAGAGAGGATCCCTATGCCAAGCTGGATGGGTACACAGCCCCGCTGAGTCAGCAGCCTCCTCAGTCTAACCCCCCCACACACACAAAGGGTAGCCCATGACAATGGCTATGACCAAGTGCACCATCCCTTGGTCATGTTAAGGCCCCATGCTGGGTCTGGAAGTCCTGGCCACAGTGAGGTCTCTAGCCGAGGGGAAGATAGGCCATCAACAGAAGAAAATGTAACAAAAACTTATGCAGCATGTGCTGTGTGTGTTGAAGACTCAAGGCTGCAGCATCGCAAATAAGGTGCTTCCCTAACCTCCCGATGCTCACATATTAGATAGAAGAGAGAAATACAGAAGCCAAAAAGAGTTCTATGAGATCATCATAATTGCAATGAGAAAATAAACAATATGAGGGCGTGGAGGTAAGTTAGAGAGGCGATCACCTCAGAGGAGGTAACGTTTCACTGACAGCGAGGAGCCGGACCACATGGCAGTCAATTGCAAGGCTGTTCTTGGCAGAGGGAAGAGCAATGGAGACACATCGCATCGTGGTAAACTAGTGATGGGAGAAGTTAGCACATTGTGGGGAGGCTTTGGGCAATCCACAGGCCCAATCACAGAATGGCTTTGTCGGCCACAGCAAGGAATTTGGATTCTGCCTCAAACACAATGATAACCACTGTGACACCCTCAAAGGTTAGGATGGGACCCCTCCTGCAACCCAGACTCACCCATCCAGCCTCACATGGCTTCTGCTCTGCACTCCTGGGAAACTCAGTCTCATATTGGGCCTCAGGGAGGCTGGGAACTGGGGAGTCTTGTGGTTCCTTCTGTGCTAAGATTTTTGCATGGGGTAAAGTTTAGGCTGTAGCTCAAAAGGATAAGAGCATTGGCCTTTGGGTCTGGGCCTGCCCCTTCCTTCCCGGATTATATGAATATGGTTGCTTCCACGTCTGTGGTTCAGGTTCTGCATATAAAAGATGGCATGGGACGGGGGCAGGGGATCACAGTACTCACCACACGGGCTGACGTGAGGTTTAGATTACATGTGGTTGTGTGAGAGCCATGTACAGAACACAATAGATGCCTGATAAATATTAGTTATTGATACTAATATTCAAAACACCTTCCTAAAAAGCCTCTGATGGCCCCAAACCTCAAAAAATACAAATTCCCCAGCCTGGGAGTATAGCTCACTGGGTACAGGCCTCTAATTTGAGCTATTTGGGGGACTATGGTAGGAAGAACACAAGTTCAAGGCCTGTTTGTGGTACAGAGAGTTCAAAACCAGTCTGGGAGGCCTCTACAGTAGTCTCCTGAGTCACCAGAGGCCCACTAGCCTGCTCCTCACACGGGCCTGTTCCTCACCTGCCCCTGAGAGCTGAGTTTCACACCTTTTCCAACTTGTGCCCTCTGCATGGAACATTTGCCTAGGCTGGTATCCGTCCAGCCTCAGAGCTCTGCTCATATAGCCTTCTGTAAAGAACCTTCTAGTCTCTCTACAGAAACTTCTGTAGAAGTTTCTCATGGTCCTGTGGGTCAATCCCACTGAAGGGCTTCCTGGTCCCTGCTCTGTCTCCACTGGTGGCTTGTTAAAGAGTGATGTGGCCCCACAAATTTGCCCCAGGACCAGAAAGCCTGTTGACTGTGGGGGGCATTAATGATAAAACTCCATTGCTGCCCTTAGCTCTCTGGTCTAAGGCCCTAGACAGCTTTGAAAAGACAGCAATGAAGTCACAAGAGGGTGAGCAACCCAGAGAGTGGGCTATCCAGGGACATCAGGTCCCACCCCCCCATGTCTTAGGCCTGTGTCACTCACACAAACAAGGTCAGAGAGCAGGGGCCCCCCTGAGCTGAGAACATGGAGCTTTCTATCTGTCCAGCCTGGTTTCTGATTGAGCACAGGCTGGAAACCCCAGTGACCCCAGGTGACCTTGAGGGACCCCAGGTGACCTGGAGGGATGGCAGGCATTTCACCGTGCCCCCAGACACTAGGCTCCTGACACGAGGCTGCAGCCCTCCATAGATTTGTGTCCTTCAGTCACTTAAGGGCAATGCCCCTAGCTCCTTCACAGGTAGAGGACGTGACCACAGGCCATGTAGCCTCAAGACAGATCTCTATATTAATGAGGTACCTAAAGGCAAGAAGGCCTAAGCCAATTAAGCTTTCCTTCCCAGACACTCCTCCCTGCAAAAGGTATTTAACCTCAGGCCCTGAGAAACTGGGGTACAGTTTTACTCATCCACTTTCCACCATGACAATAAAAGCCTTAAAACCATGGATTGTCTCTTTTCATCGGGATCCGCTGTAGGGAGCAACGGAGAAGGCCTTCGCCTAAAGAGCCTCGTCTAATCTCCCGCAGAAGACCTCTCTGCGTTCCCAGCCACTGCGGCTACTAACCCAAGCAACCCAGCCAAGCCAACCACCTGCGACTGTGGTTTATGCCAAGAACTCTCATCCCTGTGGGACTCAGCTGGAGCACTCTCCCCGTATCCCCTTCGGCCTTGGGCCAGTCCAGCCTGTGGGCCCCCACTTCACTCTCAGCTCTTCCAAGTCTTCCAGCAGAGCCTGATTACCCAAGAGCCTGAGAACCAGATGGTCCCCAGCTGCCCTGCAGGCCCAGGGACCCTCGAGCCAGCTCTGGCTGTCCCTGGGACTTCAGACTGAGCTCCCTGCCCCCCCCCCAACGGTGTCCCCGGTGCTTCACATAGCCCAACACCTTTCCAGTGCTGGTGTAGGGTGAGCGCAGCCCAACTTCCCATGTCCTGCCTCCCCAAGCGGCCCTATTTCCGTGGGGCAGACGTGGGACCGCATTTGAACCCAACACCCTACCTTCACTTTGCAGAAGTGTAGCCTCAATCTCCTTTGGTATACTGTGGGCCTGTTGCCCATTCTCCTTGACAGGATCTTATAAAAGAGATGTTTTAATTCATGATATGAACTTCATGTGTTAAACCACTCGATATCTGTGTGACCTCAGGGAAGTTTCTTGGACTCTCTGTTAATTTTCTCTTCTATTAAGTGGGCATATGATCCTATGAGGTGGTTGAGTGGGTAAAGGTGCTTGACACAAAATTTGATAACCTGAGTTTCAGCTCTGGGACTCATGATAGAAGGAGAGAACCGACTTCCTCAAGTTGTCCTTTGGCTTCCACATGTATGTGCCATAGAACACATGGGAATACACACACACACACCATAATAAACATTTTGATAAATAAATCAAGTAGTAAATAAATAGATTAGGAATGAGGTCAGTCAGAGTGGTTTATGCCTATAATCTCAGCACTTGGGAGGCTAAACCAAAATCGTCACAAGTTTGAGGCCAGTCTGGGCTATATAAAGACCTTGTGTCAAAGATAAGAATAAAGAAGAGACTACTGTCTTTTGGATGGGGAGAGCTTAGAGGACAACATGTAGCAAACAAAGTGCCCCTGAGTTAGATGGCAGATCCACCAGGATTCACCACCAGAAGAGTTATATTTAGTATAGCTTACAAAACTAGGATGCCAGTTTCTGCACCCAGCAATTGAGTTACCTGTTGATTCTGAACTAAGTTTGTGTGGTGTTTTCCTTCATGCTGCAATTCAGCTGGGCTCCAGAGAGGAAGCCACTGCGATCCTAGCTAAGTGAACACGGATGACAAGTCATTAGAGGAGGGGCAGAAGATATGTACAGCCTTGACAGGACAAAGCTGGTTGTGAATGTTGAATGTCCAACCTGACACCAGCCAGGATCTGAGCAG